GGTAGGGACAAGTAGGTCGGGCCAGAAGTTTGGTAGGGACATGTCCCTATGGTCCCTATGCAAACCTAAGCACATGCTTTTTGGTGTTTTTTGAAGCATATGGCGATCTGACCTTAAATTGTTTTTTGTTTTTCTGCACATGAATAAAGGGAAACAAGCCCGTCGAGGTAGTTTAAAGTCTATTTTTTGTACAAAACTAGAGGGATAAGTGCAAATTTGATGTTTTGCTCATGCGTATTGACTAAGGGTATGTTGGTCTGATGGGATATACTGATCTGACAGAACTGTGGACTAGTGGTTAGGGCATTGCGCTTTGAATCCTGAGGTTCTGAGTTCAAACCCCACTCCCACAGACCCTTAACCCCACACTGCTCTCCGGGCCCTGAACAATGGCAGCCCACTGCTCCACAAAGGGAAGGGATAAATGCAGAGAGTTAATTTCATCGCTCTGTACTTGTCAGGGTATAATGACAATAAAAACACTGAAAAAAAAACTATGCTGACTTGAATCTGATTATAAACAAAAACAAATTTGAGTGTTTGGGTCTGGTCTGTAGCAGGCAGCTTCTGATCAGTGTGTACATGGATGTAATTTTTGGAGGAAGGACAGGGCAAACATGTCCCCTGCACTTTTTCAAATGTGTGTTTTGGTTTGCACGTTTTACTGTCCAAAAAAAAATGTTTACGCTACAGTACATGGACGCTTGTCGAGCACTAGGACCAAACTGAAGCCTGCTTCTCTGAGTTTAGACCGCCCACAAGCTCCCGATTTGCCCACCATCTTTTTCTTGTGTGATTGGCTGTCACCACTGTCACTCCTGAGAATCTCACTTTATAAACATCTGATGCACCAATGAATCGGGTCTTTGATTTTAATAGTCAAGCACCCGTTAATTATATTGAAAAATACTTGCCTTCCCCCCACTTCTGAAATCGAAAATTTCGTCCATGGGTGTGCATATTCCGTTCGTTTAACAAAATATTAAAGTTTAAACAATATTTCAGTCAAACAAACATGCAGTGTGACCCAAATCTAGATGGCTGATTGGTCCAATCACAGGCCAGCAATATACTATATCAGAACAGTGTAATTTATACTGCAAATGCAGCAAAAATACAAAAGAATCAGTCAAAAATAGACTGTAAAACAACATGATAGTTATGGCAGTCTAATGATAACAATAGCAATATCAGTTTTATTTGAACTGCAATATTCATTGGTGTTGTGTCTCAGGTAATGTTTTAAACCAAACAAAGAATGATATTTTTATTTGCACTTAAATAAAGGATTAAAAAACAAGACATTTTGCTGCAGAACTTTAGGGTCGGAGATTTTAAGTCTGAAGCCAAATAAACCATCTTTGTTCTGGGCCTATGATGGTTTAACAAGTTCAACCAACAATCAGGTCTGCAGAGAGACCTGTACAAGTCCCTCCATCCAGCACTGGTACCGCCCCATGGTCAGGTAAAGAGCAGCAAACATCTCTGCAGACCCCACACATCCTGGACATACAACATATAAAAACATCTGCGTCTGAGACAGACTGTACCACAAGACTGTCTCTCTGATTAAATGAATAAACAACTTGCAACATATTTTAATACTAAGGGAGACTGGGCACAATTTCATCAGGGGATAGTTGCAACATTTTTTTTAATCCAATCAGAGACATGCTAGCTTGATGAAATTGTTACAGCGCTGGCTCAGTTGGACTTTACTCCTAACCAGCAAGACTAATGACACATTGAATGTCTTTAAATGTATAGGAAGAAGAACAACATTGATGTTTTTTTCAGGTGAAGAGGTATGTAAAAAAAAAACAAAAAAAGGCAATCCACTGGACTTTGTTTCTATTTTGAAGATGTTTGGCTTCCCATCCAGGAAGCTTTTTAAATTAAAAATGCCAGAAATATCGTTGAGTTGGAGGCTTTATACAGTAGCCCAACAAAGCCTTGTTTTTGTTTAGAAAACTTGCAAATTGAAACGGACGAATGGGTCCACCCCTTTGGAATGTGGGTTGTTTGGCTTCTTTCGTTATCCTGCAATACCCGATACTTGTATATGTCTCTGAAAAGGGGGTCGTTGGAGGGATTTGTAGGCCTGGCTGAATAGGAGGGGAATTCTGTTCCCCTGTGAAGGGGTTGGGGTTGCAATGATAGCAGGAAGGGATCAACTCAGTTGCTGCGT